TCTTTGCGGTAAGCTTCCACCTTGTCATCCTGAATAAGGCCCACTACTGTTGTATCATCTGCGAACTTCACAATATGGTTGGTGGCAAACCTAGCACAACAGTCATGGGTCAACAGGGTGAACAGCAGGGCTGAAGGAAGATACCAATGGTCCTTCAAATAATTTGCAATTAAACTGCTTAGGGCTTTAAAAGTCATAACCAGCACTTTAACTGTGGCAGCTTAGTCCTATATACCAGGGGTCCCTAACCCCTGGGCCACAGCCCACTGTGGCAGTCAAGCACGCACGCATCCCCACTTGCACAAGCAGTGGGAAAGCATGTATGCTTGCACTTGTCTGCTGCTCGTGTGGAACCATCCCCTATTCGTACACCCTCCAGTTTACAAAGAAGGAAAGGCTGGGGAACTCTGCTATATACAGAGTATAACACAGAGGAGTTTATGTGCCCAAATAAGCACATAGTGTGCTTATTTGGGCACAAAGAGGAAATGTAAGTTATACTATGCCCTAAAAACTAAAATGCAGCTTTCCTTCCATAGCCTAATGAAAACAAATCTTGCAGCAAACAACAGCATCTGTGCAAGCACGAGCAGAGTGTGTCTTGAGATGCAATTTATTCTAATATAAAATAGATCTGGTCAGCACCACAGTAATCATTAGAGACTGCCTAGTTGTGCCACGCTTGAAGATAGTTCCTGTTATTTGGGATAACAGGATGAAATATGCAACAACTTTGCTATATTTAAAGCACATGTTGAAATTACTTTGGATTCACGTTGGGATTTGGTAGGGCATGGCAGTGCAGTTGAAAAAATCAAGGAGGGAGCCCTAGGCACACCACTGGAGGAAAGGTGGGAATTATATCAAATAAATAAAGCCATTTTATCTGTTTGATTACTGTATTCTGCCTATATTTTTTTCTGTTTATTTCAGATTAAAACAGCTTTTAATTGAAGGTGCTTTATATGACAGACAGTAACTAAATATTTCTTCATCCTTCATCTTTTGAAATACAATAGACCCTTTCTTATCAAAAGTTTCCCCACTTTAGTGAGACATGCAAATTCTTTAGTAAATAGAAAACAGATCAGACAGCCGTTCTTTGAAGCACAAAGCAATATCATACGTGAAAAATCTGAGAAGTCTTTTGCATGCCACGCATCGAATTTAAGGACAAAATCATTTTAGGCCCAAAGCAGTTTCACCTATTACATGTCTCTGATTTCTAAGAATTTGAGTTGTTTCCTGTATTATGGAAAGATCATAGATGTTATGATCTTCTGTTCCTGGGAGTCTGTTTTGCTTCTTAGCTGGTTTAACCTTTCTAGAATGGGATGTTATGGACAGATGCTGCTGCCATTAGTGGTGACTTGAATTGTATTAACTAATTTGACTTGTTTGACTAATTAAATACTGATATAAAATTAAGTAATATCAGGGAGTTGTAACAAGGATTTATCAATTTTCTATTAATGAAAAGTTTGCTGAGTAGACCAACTCTGCATGATCTATCTAATAAAACTGATTTTTCTGTAGACATTTAGCACAAAGCTTTAATCTTTACTCTAGTTGGGAGAGCTAGTAACAGAATCAATGCTGTCTTTTGTTGTAGGTTAAAAGTTGAATAAACGTATTTTTTTTTAACAAGTGTAAATTTACACGAGAGTATTGCAGCTTCATTTGATCACTTAGATTTTGTAAGGTAACTTCTGGTTTGTTTTTAAAATTTTAGGTATGGGAAAATTGTATCTACGAAAGCTATTTTGGATAAAACAACAAACAAATGCAAAGGTATGTTCATTCTCAATTCCTTTTTCAACTTTGATTTTAAAATCACTTATAATTATTATTATTTTTTCCTTTTTAATGTATGGTGGCTTTGCATTACATTGAACCATTTCTCCTTAGCGCAGTTGCAACATATGCTTTGGGTTTTATCTCTGAGGTAATATCACCAACAGCATCCACAAAGGCAAATCTTTTCAGTTTTTGTTCCCTTCCTCTGGAGTGACATTCTCCCCAAGAGCCATATAGCTCCAACCTTGCTGAGTTTTAGCGTGGACATCAGAATCTGATTATTCCAATAAGCCTTGGGGTTGAATATGAAGTGGTACTTCTACTAATAGCATTATGTTGTTCCTTGGATAATAAATAATGACCGATTCTCTGGTTATTTTATCTTCTTATATGTTATTTTGATTTTATTTACAAAGCTGCCAAGAGTCAGCAAAAATTGGGCTATAAGGCCAGTAGATAAATTTTTTTAAAAAATACTAAAACTCACATGGATGCTGATGATGACTCCAGACAGAGTTAACAGGCATGCCACTGTGTGGCATTGAGCCTCTGTTTCCGAAAAGAAAGGGGATTTTGAACAGGAATTTTCCTTGCCTGCTGAGATGAGTACCATTTGACTGTACAAAGTATCCAGAAAGATTACACATTGTGTAAATTGGCTTTATTAATTAGAATGGGTGAGTGTTAAGTAGTTCTTAATTGCATGTTCCAGTCCCCTAATTGTGTTTGTGTTCTGTTCGTTTGGAATATAATGGAGAGAGGGTGAAAGGGTTTCATTTTCACTGGCATAATTATAGGTAGGAAAAATAATAAACTTCTTTCTCTGAGACACTGAGTACATTAATTTGGTTTGGTGACCTTCAGCATTCACTGTGATTATGATTAGATCACTTCCTCACAAAATGAGTAGTAAGTAGAATACAATACGAAACACTCACATACTGAGTTTTAGTCCTACTTTCCAAAAGCAGATGAATGCTTTCTAATCAAAGGAAAATTCAGCCCAGTCAGTTTTTCCATAGTATGCAAGTGGATTTTAACCTCAAGAGACCTATTAATCTAAAACTTGTATTTTTCCATATTGTATTTTTTGTTCTAGATTCATGATTAATGTTAGAAGCATTTGTTGAAAGATGTACATAGAAGTAAAAAGATGGTGCTTAAATTAACTACAGTCCTGTACCAACATATCTAAATTCATTAGAACCT